AAAAAATACATTCCAGTGTCGATTTCGTCTTTCAATAGGTGTGCTCGGTGATATTGTCATGGATGCAAATGGAGACCGCCATTCCGATTTCTCTTTCTTAGATATGAATGAGAATGGACAATTCGTGGTGAAATCTTATTTTCTCTTTTTCTTATTTTTAATTTGTAGGTTAAACATTAAAACAATTAATAGAGAAATTGCACAGAATTTATGTGCAAATACAATCGATTATAGAATAACGTGAGTGATTAATGGACCTATTAAATGAAGGGAAATTGTGTTGCTCATGCGCGCTAATGGTGCCACGTGACCGTCTCGTTCGAATTGATTGGATTAAATTTGACCTAAAAGTAGAAGCCTACTCATATTTTTGTCAATGTTCGTTGGTTTCAGTGGCTGAATAATTCATCGTTTGTCGATTCATGTACACGCCATACGCTGCGTTGTTTGTTGCGCCTATCTTAAAGGGCGGTGGTCGTCGCGCCGCGTCCTGTTTGATATGGGACTCATAGCGATGTACACAACGCGTGTAAAACACATTGTTTGTTTACATGGAATTCGAACACGCGCTGCGCGACGACTATCGCCCTCTAACTATGACCAACGTCTTGCGCAAGATGTTTTAGAAAGCGTGTAAAATTAAAAACTGCCGCTGAAATTCGACATGGCGGTAAACAATAAATTCGAGAGCAGTATTGATTACTTGTACAATGTGTACATGCGCGTATATGCTATTCTTTCTTTGATACAAGTTCAATGTGTATTTTTTCCTAAATTAATATTTTTAAAATTCATATTTTCTGTATAGGTCATTGCTACTTATTTCGGCGCATATGGAGCGTTCAATTTTGTACCTGGTAAATCGATACGATGGCCAGCGGGGTCTTTGGGGCCTCCGGCGGACGAACCGTATTGTGGATTCTATGGCGAGAAACCTGAATGCAATGGTAAGATACGTCTGATATTCTACTGAGTCGATTATTACTTTCCATTTTTCTTGACATGTTAATCACATTCCATGTTAATGCAAATAAAATGCAAATATTAAATATTATTATACGCCTGTCACCGT